CTCTAATCAACTGAGCTACCCAGCCAGGGCTATATGTATTGTTTAAATAACCCTCATCCATACCTAATAAAAGTGTCACAATTTGCAAAAGAATAATTCAGAAGAGTTTATCTTTGTGGGAAGAATGAGGGGCTGGGATTAGAGGCTTCAACTGCATCTGAAGTTATTTTATTTTTTTAAAAATAGAAAGCTCTAAAGCAATCGTGGTAAAATGCCATGTCTGCAAATCTGGGCCAGACTGAGTTTAACAGGAGACATAACTCTTCTGGTGAGGGTCTAATGCAGAGATCCGCAAACATTTTCTGTAAAGGGACAAACATTAAGTATTTCTGGCTTTGCAGGTCATAAACTCTCTGTTGCAACTACTCAGCTCTGCTGCTGTAGCGTGAAAGCAGCAATAGACAATATGTAAACAAATGGCAATGCTGTACTCCAATAAAATTTATTTTCAAAAACAGACTATAGGCTGGATTTGGCTAGTAGCTTTAGGTAATTACTATAAGTTCTCATTTACCAAAAGTCCTTATCATAATGTTATACCTTCTTTTAAACTTAACAGGCTTTTTTTTTTTCCAGCAAGTCAGTTGACAACAAAAAACTGAATCATGAGCCCAGCTGGTATGGTTCAGTGGTTGAGCGTCAACCCATGAACCACAAGGTCACGGTTTGATTCCCAGTCAGGGTGCATGCCTTGGTTTTGGACACAATCCCCAGTAAGGGGCGTGCAGGAGGCAGCCAATCGATGAGTCTCTCTCATCATTGATGTTTCTCTCTCTCTCTCTCCCTCTCCCTTCCCCTCTCTGAAATCAATAAAAATGTTTATTTTTTAAAAAAACTGAATTATGAGACAATGGAAATTGAGACTGCCTTAAAAAAAAATCAGGATTAAAACATAGTTTGAAGTTTGGCTATTTTGATGATGTCTGTCTCTTATTAATGGATAAAGCATCACAATAACTACCAATTTGTGCCAGGCACTTGCCTGAAGCCTTATTTCTAATCCTCACACTAATGTTGCAAAGTTGCTATTATTCTTATATTTTAAAATTGCAAATAGACTCAATACTTGCTCAAGATCCTAAAGCTCCTATACTTTCAATTGTACCACACTTTTTCTAGGCACTCTTCAGCTAATTTGATTATCAGCAGTCACTTTGGATATAAGGACCAATCCATAAGAGGGTAGCCAGCCACTCTTGCACTCACTCTTTATCCATCTAGAAAAACTGTTACATTTCCAAATACAATCTCCTTCCTTACCTATCAATCTGAATTTTTTTCAGTGTCTCTGTAGTAGTTATGGACTGCCTTGTAGGTGATTTGAGGGCAGTCTCTTGCACTTCGTTAAATTCCCTGGCAAACGGGCCTCCTAGTCTGATTTCTGGCAACTTGGGTTCTTCTTTAGGCGATATTTTTGAGGCTCTTGAGACCACTGGAGGTTTTTCCGGGCTTTTTTCTTCTAAATTCATTTCACTGTTTTTCTTCTAAAAACAATATAAGTGATGTTTTATATAAGATTTTAGAAGAGTAAAGAAACAAAGCTATATGAGGGCCTCTGCCTATACTTTTAACCTAATTTTCTCCCACTTGTACTCTATACTGGAAGAAAATTACCTTTCTTCAGCTACACCAAACCACATGTCCTGCTGTTTATATCTTCCTACCTTTAGAAAAATTCCCAATTTGTCACCTGGTAAACTTTAGGATTATGACCAAAGGTAGATCTTTGTGAAATATCTCTATTAGCAACCATTTACCATATTGTAATTATTTGTATAAATATCCCTGTTAGATTGTAAATTCTATGAGAGAAGTTAAAGTGTCTTAGAGATCTTGGTTCACCTCAAATTCTTTTTAGTATAAGACTGGATGTTAAATAAATGTGGCCATCTTTATAATTCCATTACTTAGAACAATGCCTAGGGTATAGTAGAGACTCAAATGTTCATTGAACATATATGAATTTGTTTCTTTTTTTATTTTCACCCAAGGATATGTTTTGATTTTAGAGAGGGGGGGGAGAGAGAAACATCAATGTGAGAGAGAAACATGAATTGGTTGCCTCCCATACGCACACTGATCAGGAATCAAACCCACAACTTGGTTGGTTATGTGCCCTGACCGGGAATCAAACCCACGACCTTTCCATATTTGGACAGTGCACCAACCAACTGAGCACTCTGGTCAGGGTGAACATATATGAATCTGAAATATAAAGAATGAAATCATACCAAAGAGCAGACGTTGATAGTATATTTAGTGGTATATATTTCAAAGGTCTTCTGGGGAAAAGCCAAAATAATTTATTTTTTAGATACAAACTTGAACAGTAAAAGGTAAGCATTACCATAGGAACAGCATATGTCTTTTCATTGTTAATTCTTATTTAATCTGTGGCTAAAACCTTTTTTAAAAAATACGTATTTTTTTAAATTGATTTTAGAGAGAGAGGGGAAGGGAGAGGGAGTTAGAAACGTCAATGATGAGTGATTGATCAGCTCCCTCCTCCCCCACCCCCTCCCAGGGAACCAGCATGCAACCTGGGCTTGTGCCCTGACTGGGAATCAAACCCTGATCTCCTGGATCCTAGGTCAATGCTCAACCTCTGAGCCGCGCCAGCCAGGCCTGTGGCTAAAATCTTGAGCTATGGAAAAGCCATATAACATAATGATTGCGCATATGTACTCTGAAACAAGATTTTCTTGTTTGAATCCCAATTCTCTTACTAAACAGTGTTGACTTTAGGCAACTATGTAACATCCCTATGCCTCCATTTTCCCATTGGTAAAATAGGTCTAAGAATAGCACCTGCCCTCATAGAGTTATTATGAGGGTAAAATAAATTAATATACATAAAGCATTTAGAATAGTACACAGAACTGTGGAAGTTCTGCATTTGTTATGATTAAATTCTTGTGCTGATCCTGTGCACAGAAGAAAGGTATCTGCATATTGACACATAAAGCCTAGATCCTTCCTCAGCAAACCTTCAACTAGCCCAGCAATGTTAAAAAACAAAAACTATCCTTAAAAGGTTAATAAATAGACTCAACAAAATTCTTCTTTATATGAACAATAAGCAGAGATTCAGATCTGAGGAAAACATTTGTAGGCAAGGACAAAACAAATTGCTGCCTTAAGCAAGAATTAAATTTTAAAATATTCCTTTAAATTAAAATTGATATGATTGACCACAAAGAGAAGAGAAGCCATAGAATTTCAGCAATTAAACTGAAACTTACCTGGACATAAGGAAAACTTTCAGTGTATGTATGGTCATTAGTTTTTTGTCCAGGAAAGAAAGGGGACGTGTAAGGCCGGGAAGCTGTTTTTCTGATGGCCCTAACCAGCTGCCCTCTACCTTTATGCTTAGGCAGCTAGAAAAGGAAGCAAATGTGTCAAACTAATTTTCTGATGAATAGAAATTGGAATTTTTAGAAGAGAACTTTAAGGAATTAGCTAAATATTCTATCTAGTATGGTCGCTAAAAAAGATTTTTATATAATATACATTATGTACAAGAATTAGACCCTAAGGGAAAAGAAAAACAGTATTTCCTGTAGGCAGTCTCTTTCCAAACTTAGGTCCATTACTCCCACTTCTGACAGAGCCTGGTATATTACTACAGTTCCGTCATTTTATTCTGTGATTCTCACACACAAAAATCTACTTGGAGATGTCTTTAGCTGTACAAATGGTTGTAAAAAAGGGATAATGCTAACTAAGCTTTCAAGCCAAGGTTGTTATAATGCTAAACAATGTGAAACCTTTGGAGAAAAAAATCTATCCATACTAAGGTTTTAAAATGTATACCCTATGCAAGATAGAGTAATGGCATAGTAAAATTCCTGAAATTGAACAACCATAGTACTATGAAGTAAAAACAAAAAAATATTTTACAAGATTCATAATTTCTAAAAATTATGGAACTAATTTACATTGAGAAAGAGGCTTTAAAGATGCTGTTAATCAAGATAAAAGTGCAAGCCTTTATTATTTATACATCTATAAAATCCCAAGTAGAACCTCTATTAAGTCAGAAAGTTTTGTGGGGATCACTATCATTAACCAGAATAAAACAGCCAAAAAGTTTTGTTCTTTTATTTACTGGAGTGGTGACTGCTGCTGAATGCTATTTATAAATTTGGGTTTTTCATTTTTCCTTGAATTTCTATGATGGCAAATTATTGTGTGTATTTTTTACACCTGACTGTATAATTGGTAAGTATAAGATTTCATGTTGTTAACTGAGCATCTTCTCTTTTTATTTTTGAGCCTTACTGAACGAGACAATAAGTAGGAAGGAAACACTAGTCTCTTCTGTACTATTTTTTTTTTTTTTTAAATATATCTTTATTGATTTGAGAGAGAGGAAAGGAGAGGGAGAGAGAGAGAAAGAAACATCAATGATGAGAGAGTCACTGATCGGCTGCAGCCCGCAATCCAGATATGTGCCCTGACCAGGAATAGAACCCTGATCGCCTGGATCCTAGGTCAATGCTCAAACGCTGAGCCACACCTGGCTGGGCTGTACTATTTGTTAACTATCTTAATTTATGAACTAGAGTATTACTGTGAATGCATTAAAAGGCTTAGTTCCTGGGTGTCCAATATCGTTGCTATTCATAAACTGATAAGGAAATTAATTTGTTGTAAAATACCTATAACATCCATTAAGATCACTTTAAAATTACCCCAAAACTCATAGAATGTTGTCCAGCCAGGCGTGGCTCAGAGGTTGAGCATCGACCTAGGATCCAGGAGATCACAGTTCAATTCCTGGTCAGGGCACATGCCAGGTTGTGGGCTCAATCCCCATTCGGGGGCGTGCAGGAAGCAGCCGATCAATGACTCATCATTGATGCTTCTATCTCTCTCTCTCTCCCTTCCTCTCCCTGAAATCAATAAAGATGTATTTTTGAAAAATTAAAATGTTAAATTTTTTTAAAAAACCCTCATAGAATGTTAGCATTGGAAGGGACCAACTAAGCCACTCTGGCCAGGACTCAATGTAGTATTTTTAATATACACACTAGACCATTCGAATCACCAAACTTTCACAAGAGGTTAAAAGACAGCTATCTTCTATAAGTCAGATGCAGTTCCAAATCTAAGTGACTGTATATGAACTTTCATAGTTTTAGGGCTGCTCTAAAGTTAAAAACCTTTTCTCTTGTTTCAGAGATATTTACATCAAATTAAGACATTTACAACAATGGTTCCTAGTATATAACCACCCAAATATCATTTTCACCTATTCTGTAAGGAAGTTAAGCATTCACAAGTTTCTCTAATAAATTCTGTGCATTTTCTCAACATAAGTAACACAAACTATTCTAAATATTTACATTTATTTCAGTGCATTTAAAAAAAATACTAAATGGAATGAAATTTGTAGAATCTATCACACAAATCAATTCATGTCAATATCATACTTTACTCAAAAACAACTTCACAGGCACATACAAAATAGAGAACAAAATCTGTTTTAAAAATTTCAAGTATACTGTCTACTTTAAAGTACACTAAACGATTTATTTTCACAAAACATCCAATCTTCAAACCCCTTTTCTAATTTTGGCAGAAGAAAAGTTCAATCCATTCGAATCTTCTGGTTTGTCATCCTATAAATGATGCTATCATATCCAGGATCCATGTTCCAAATATTGTAAGAGGTGATAATCACAGCCAAGGCCAAGGCAATCATTATCCAAAGAACCATGTTGAAAACCACTGGATAGTCAAAATTATACTTATATGCAAGGTTATAGGGACTTGGTGGGTTCTTCTCTTGTTTTGTCTCAAGGATAGTCCTTGTTTTCCTCACAAGTGATGTGTCATATGATCTGACAGTCACTAGCTCTACCACTGCATTCCCACCATAAAGACTATACATGTCATCTGCAAACTTTTGCAGAGTGTCAACAAGGACCTTAGAAGCATCTCTGAATTGTTCAGAATATTCTCCATAATGTTTCCCAATTTCATCCAAACCTGCCAGCTCCAGTGAATATAAATCAGGAGAATGGTCCTTGGCTAGATGCTTATGTCGAGACAACAAACTTGAAACATCACATAGAACTTGCAGTTCAGAAAGAAAGAGCAGATCAACTTCACTGTTACTACTCAGAGAATTGAGGGGAAGTGAATTAAGAACAGAGTTTTCTTGAAACAGGCGATTGCGGAGCTGTCCTAATGTTACTGAAAGATCTTCAAAAACTGAGTTTGCCTTCCCCACCATATACACTCTTTCCTCACTGGGAGCCAACTGCAAAACCACAGGAGTTTCCTCAGAAAATAAGGAGTGAATGGAATTTGCAACACTGTCAAGACTAAAAGGAACTGCATTCTCCAAAGGGTATGAAATGACACTGCCTGAAGGTAGAGGGAGTTTGTCCACTCCCTTCACGATCACCATCACAGTGGCCCGAGGTCGATGGAATAGGTTACCCACTGCAAGTCCCGGCCAAGAAAGGTCGTCTTCCACAGAGAAGCCCATGGCTAATGCTGCCACGTCTGGGATTTGCTCTCCTGAAATAGGCCAATTTCCATTGCGGAAAACAACATACTCTGGTGATCTTAATATACTAAACTCGTTCCCCAAAGCACCGGCTACCAAGGACAGAAGCACAACGAGCACAGCCATGGTTCCGTTCTGGCCGCAGCAGTGCAGGGCAACACGCAGTGAGTGGTTGCCACAGCACCAGGGGGTGATGCACTCCGGCTGGTCCTGACTCCCTGAGACCTTCTCGTCGTCGCCTCCGCTGGGACAGCTGCCGCTTTCTCCACCAATCGCCGGCTACCAATAAATATGTATTTGTATTTATTTTTTTTTATTTCTACAACCTAAGTTATCAAAATTAACAAGAGTTTAAGAATTTATAAAGCTTTTACACACTACCAAGTTGAGTTTTTTGATAACTCAATCCGTGCTTTGTAATGGCTGACACAATGTGGTGGATATTCACAAAGGCAGACTGCAACATATTCTGCAATAACAGTCATTTTAAACGATTAAAGCAACGTTTAGAAGGTCCAGCAGTCTAATTTCCTACTCCTAGTGTACAGTTAGCTTTTAGTAGCTGAGAAACATAAGTGGGACAACTCAGTAATTTGTCTGACCTCACTGCACATACTGTATTTATACTTATTTAGTTATAGGCCTTTAGAATAATGCTGGCATATTGGAAGAAAAGGACATTCTGACTCATAATATTCCTTGAGATATGGCTATTTCACTCCATCAACTGAGAGTCTATATTTTATGTAATTATTATAGCCCTTATCTGAGATAAAGATGCTATTTCCCATGTTAAATTTAATGACATAAATACTGTAAATGGAGAAATAAAAAGAAAAAAAGATTAAATAATAGTGAGCATATATACCAGGCTCTTGCTTTGTCTTCTTTCATACTGAACTGGCATGATATAGTTTAGAATTGAGAGCTGGTCGGTGGTATCCTCCAGAACTGCAGAGATCCTCAGTACATCTAGAATGGAGAGTGGCTCTATGAGTTCTGGGATGATTTCTATGTCTGTTTCTTTGGCTGTTTCTTCTTCTTCTATGACACCCGGTGGTTCGCCTGTCACTGACACTGTCACCTCAGGATACCAAGGTTTTGGAGAAGGATTTGAGGCTTCTGGTTGGCCTCTACAAAAATAATAAAGAAAAATAAGTCAGCCACCAAATGTTTAAAAATTAAACTCAAAAGCACAGGCAGCATGTAGATTGGCTCCTGTGAAGTCCATATTGTCATATAATCTAACCAAGATAAAGAACAAAAGTAGGAGTTTGCATGTGATTCTGCTAAATACCTCTCAGTGACATTTTGACCAATAATAAGAAAGCAACTTACTGTTTAACAAACTTATGTAATCCATGAAATTTGGCTATGCTTAACCAATTTGAATTTAAGCCAAAATTAATTTTTTTTCTAGCAACATCTTTAGAAGCTACTAACCAAAAGTGCCTCATGATTAGTGAAAAACTGAATGTGGTAGCAGGTCTCCAAGATGGCCCATATGATTCTCACCATCATGCCCTTTTGTAGTCTTTTTCACACTGAATAGGACTAACTAACCTATGTAACTAAAATGATATTGTGAGTTCCAAAGCTAGGTGATGAAAGATACTGCAGGCCCTGACTGGGTAGCTCAGTTGGTTAGTCTCCTCTCAATATGCCAAGGTTGTGGGTTTGATCCCTGGTCAGGGCACATACAAGAATCAACCAATGAATGTATAAGTAAGTGGAATAACAAATTGATGTCTCTCTCTAAAATCAACAAAATAAAAGACTTTGCAGCTTCTTCCAGTCTCTCGTAACTCTCACTCTATAGGAAGCCAGCTGCCTTGTCATAAGGACACTTAAGCAGCCCTGTGGATAGGTTCATGAGGATGAGGAATTAAGGCCTCTTGCCAACAGCCAGCATCAACATGCCAGCTGTATAAATGAGACATCTTGGAAGTGGATCCTCCAGCCCCTCATCAAGTCTTCAGATGGTTGCAGCCTTGGCCAACTTTAACCTCTTGAGAGACCCCAAGCTAGAACAATCCAGCTAAGCTGCTCCCAAATTCCTGACCCACAGAAACTATGTAAAATAAGGGACAATTTAAATAAATAAATACACACAAAATAAATTGAAATTTTGAACATACTCTTCCATTCTTCTTAAGTTAGCTTTGTTAACTTCCAAGGTACATTTATAATCTCACAAAAATGAAGTCACCTAAGATGAGAAGAAAACATTGAGATTAGTTTGCGTATTGAATGACATTTAAGTTATTTTTATGCTCTTCCATTCAAAGAAAATTAAATAATTACAAGAGCTTATCCCCCCTTTTTAAAAAATCTTCACCCGAGGATATTTTTTCCATTGTTTTTCAGAGAGAGTGGAAGGGGGGAAGAGAAACATCAATGTGAGAAAGACACATCGATTGGTTGCCTCGGAGGTATGTATTCTTGGCTACAATCAAACCCAGGACCCTGCAGTCCACAGGCCAATGCTCTAACCACTGAGCCAAACAGGCTAGGGCTTTTATACATATATTTTTTATTTTAGAGAGAGGAAGGGAGTGGGAGAAACATCAGTGTGAGAGAGAAACATTAATTGGCTGCCTCCTGCATGTCCCCTACGAGGGATAGAGCCCATAATCCAGGCCATGTGCCCTGACCTGGATTTGAACCAGTGACCTTTTGGTGCACGGGACAATGCTCAACCAAGCCACATTGGCCAGGGATCCTCTCTTTTTGCTTATTAGAAAAGAGATGGAAGAACCATCATGTGGTGCAGGTCTACTAGGATACCAACTTAATAATCAGCAGATAAATGCAATCTTTGAGTCTCTTCTTAAGGTAAATTAGTATCTAACATGGTTTTCATATTTTTTACTGTATTCTGATTTTTTAATTGGTAACCTCTAGATAATGGATTTACTTTTCTGTTATTCTGATTACTAAAATATTTAATTAGAGTACTCCATTTCCCTGATCTGTTGGATAATAGAACTGTATCACCTGGACTTAAAGAACACTTGAGAATGCACTTAGAAACATTGTATTTATCCTGCAAATCAGTTTAATACAACTATCAAGACGTTACTGTCCTCAGTAAACCAGTCCTTTCTGCTTAAAAAAAGCTTTAAATTCTCTATGGAGAATTTTGCTCTATACTGAATGAATAGTGATTATAAAATTCCTGTATGGTTTTATTCACAATAAAGTGATCCTGAAAAGGGTGGTACAAATATATGTCACATAATGAAAATCTCATATGCAAAAATTCAAATATGTAAATCAGAATGTTTATGTAAATTAAAAGCAAAACAAAACCATACTCCAAATTAGCCAAATTTTCTGGTGCAAGGGCGGTCCCAGAAGGAAGTAACATGGTGTTAATAAGATTTTGTTCTTTTGCTGTGTTGTTTATTTTTCCATTTTTTTCAACTGGGGCATAGGTCAATGTGCTTCACATAGGTAAGACAGGGCTATGCTTACACAGTATTGAGTGCTTTTGTGCTGTTCTAGCTTTTCATTCCCCAATGCTAGAAATCCAGGAGTCATTCCTGCTTCCTCCTTCATCTTGACATCAACATCCTCCAATCTAAACCATCACCAAGTCCTGTGGGTTTTACCTTATATTTCCATATTCTCTAACACCGTGCTGGGCCATGCTGGTTCGTTTGAACTACTCTGCCTCCAAATTGGAGTTGATCTTTTAAAAATGAAACAGTGATCTTTTAAAATTAAAAAATCTGATCATGCCTCTCCTTAGAACTCATGAGTGGTTTTCCATTGCCTTAGGACAAAAACTAAAATTCTTAACTTTGTCCATAAGGCCTTCATGATCTGCCTCCCCTTTGTTCCTCTCCAGATCCATCTGGCATTGTCTCTTCTTGCTCTCATGGCTCCAGCCTCAATGGGCTTCTTCCAGTTCTTCAGTATAAAAGAAAAACAACAAAATGGAGTTGATATTATCAAGAGTACAATCTAAAATGGAGCCAGAAGGCCTCTGGGAAGCTGAGTTAACTCATCTCCCTCCATGTGAAACTGAACTTTTGAACTGGGATAAACCAAGTGGCTACATCCTGATACAGTTCCTGGACATGGCTCCACATCATTGAATGCTCCATTAAAAAAATAACTTTTTCACCTAGCAACAGACATATGCAGTTAATCATATATAGCATAGTGTAAGTCCACTTGCCAGTACCAATCACAGTTCTTTCAAAGCAATTTATGTAATCCCCTTGGACCCCCTTTTCTGTCTTTACAAGCTCTGTCCCTTTCTTTCCTCTTTGGAACACAGTTGGGTTTTCTACCCCAAATCTGTGTCTCCCAGACCAAAAAAGACCCCCAAATAAAGCTTTTGTTTGCCTTGCAGCTCTTGGTGAAAATTGATTGACTTATGTAATCATGCTCCATTCCAAGTCACGACCTTTGCATATGCTATTCTTTCTATTTACACTCTTCCCCTCACCTCCTCATCTAGTAAAGTCTTAGGTAGCAGTTTAAATCTGTGTCATTTCACTAGGTATCTGCATTTTGCCCCTTGAAATCCAATCTCCACCATTTTCTGTGCCCTGGGAGACTGATCTACATGGACTGCATCAATGGGAAATTCCAAAAGAGATCCAAAGTGTAGGACTGTAAGGTCCCGTATTTATTTCCCCAGCTCCCTCCCTTCCAGATCACCATTGGTTGGCTATGTTTCTCTATCAAAGGCCATAGCTCCTGTCAGGCAATCCTCTCCATATTGCTCTGTTGGGGGCTGAGGTAACTTCTTCCCCATGTGCCTGGAGACTGCATTATCCCTTATAGTTTTCACTCTTGCCTAAACCTTTGTAAGCAGACTTATTAAATTCTCTTCAACTCTGCCAACTCTTTCCTTCCAGGGCACTGACTGGCACAATAACCTACAATGACACACATTTTTATATACAGTATATATGTAAATACACATACATGCAAATAACTGAAAAAGTTTTATAATTTACCTGTAACATGTGTGAAACATTCTGATATTTTTGATTCTATTATATTTGCATTAATAGGATTATAATCAGGATCTACTAATGGGCTATAACCTGCAGTTTGAAAAATGCCTTAACTGACACTCTGCAAGTGAAACTTTCCCTGATTCATCAGGCTGGATCAGGATTCCTCTGTTCAAGCACTTACTGCACTCTTATTTTCCTGCAGAGCTCTCTTCACAATTTGTAATGTTTATGTCAGTTTCCCCCACTAAACTGTTAAGTTCCATGAGATCAGGAACCATGGCAATGATGGCCATGGCTCACTATTGTAGCCTAAGTTTCAGGCACTATGCTCAATTAATATTTGTAGAATGAACGAACAAAGGAATAAAACTCACAATGTGTTATTCCTCTCAGGAGTGCTTTTCTAGTACTGTACATTTAATAGTGGAACTGCTAGCACATTCTCTAATAGTGGGATTTCTAGTATATTTCTGGGACGGAGAAAACTGGATGGGGGGAGTGGGCTATAAAGGTACATAAACTCTATTCGGATGTATTTATAAGGATCTGATTTGAAAATATATTTCAAAAAATATGGTACCTATTTCATAAAACTTTGGAGTCATCCTTCACTCTTCTCTCTCATTCCTTACCCATCAGCAAATCTGCTCAGTGTTACATTTAAAATATATTCAGAATTCCAGTACTCGTCGCCCCTGTCCACACGCCATAATCTCCCATCAAGATCTTCACAGTAGCCTCCTAATTGATCTCCACGCTGGTGCCCTCCTTTGCCGTCAGCCACAAAACTGACCTTGCTAAAACGGAAGTCAGACTGAGGAAAATGTTCTCACGTTACCTTCTAATGCGCCATATATTTTACTTACCGTCTTGCTCCCTCGACTAGAAAGTAAGCTCGATGAGGACAGAGAATTCTGTTCTGCTGTCTACCGCAGGGTCCTCCGAGCCAAGAACAGAGCTCGGCCCATGGGAGTCATTCAATAAACTGTTCAATAAATGAACAGCTCCACAGGGCAACCCAAATAAATGTGCAATAATTAGGAAACGTAAACCTCCGACGTCCATTAATCTATCTCACGCTAGTCTCTACAAGTAATTACTGAAGACCTATTACTTACGGGCACGGCGCTGGGCACCCGGACAGCCTGCCTGGCAACTGAGCGAGTTCTCCTTAAAAAGGAATAAGGCCTTTTCAGAACAGTCCTCCTTACCCCCGGGGACAAAAGAAAGGGTGGAGGTGAAAACTGGCCATTTCTGGAAACAGATGAAGAAGGAGGAGGAAGGGGGAGATGGGAAGGTGAAGAGAAAAGCTCCTCCTTTCGTGCTACCGGCCTTTCTCTACCAGGCTAGGATCCGAGTCTCCGTTCGCCCTACTCCCGTGAGGTGGGAGCGAGAGAGACCCCCACGTTGGCGAATCAAACCTGGAGCGCCCGAAGCGGGGAGATGTCGGCCACTCCGGCTTCCCTTTTTCACCTGCCGCACCCGCTGACGCAGGAACCTGAGGTATTTCTATAGCAACGCTTAGCGTTACGGGACCTTTGCTTCTCCTCCTTTAGTTGGCTACCACTTTGCCTCCCTCTGCTCCAAAATAATACACGTTGCAGTTTACAAAGACGAAATGACTTAGGGAAAGAATTGTATGAGTGCTCTTGAATGTGGCTCGTTTCAGTCAGAAGACGATTTCTGAGGCTTTCTTTTTGGCAATTGCGGAAGATGCCTCAACTGAGGGCGGGGCGGAGAGGTGTTTTTCCCACAAGGCCATGCGGCGGGGCCTCGCCTTCCTTTTTCCGCCATCTTGGACCCTGTGGAGGTGAGTGGAATTCCTGCTGCTGAACTTTGGGGGGAAAATAACTGGAGTGGGTTCCACTACATATCTAGGCTAGGCACTGCTGGGGTACGGAGGTTCTACCAGGGATTGATTTCGGTGGATTCCAGCAGCAGGGAGGACAGGATGGAGGAGATGTGGGGCTGATGGTGCTGGTCCCCTGACAGCGGGAGAACGGGTGCTCCCGTAGTCAGAGTTACTTCATGGCCCCTTCCGGAGTGAACACATACACCTTGTCATTTGTATTTACCCTTTTGAGACAGTGGCTGCTTTTGCCTGGGTTCTGTCCATTTGCTCCCCCACCCCCCAAGCCTGACTTTGTCTATAACCTCTTTCCTCAGCTTTTCTTTCCCATATATTGCTTAAGAGTCTTGTTTCCTCGTTTTTCTGATTCCTTGCTCTGATTCCTTGATCTTTTTTTTGTAACCCCGGCATGAATTTTCTTAGGACTTCCTTTTGGAGTTTTCTAGGGGTGGTTTTAGTGTACAGCCTTGCCACTTCTCGATTCATTTTGGAGCTTGCTTAGCTATCAGGCATTCTCTGAGGTTGGGATGTCTTGCCAGACTGCGCTTCCTGTAGGCGTTATGGCATAATTACGTTTCCCCATACTCTGAACGTGAAATGCCGACCAAAAGGAATTCACCTAACAGGTTTAAGAAACGAGTGGGGACTAGGTGGGGAACGTGTGTTGCGAGATTTTTAAACCGATTCTCTTTTTGTTTAAGGCCTGCTGGGAACAGGACTTCTATAAGGACAAATATGTCTGGAAGGTACGAGTTTTTAATATAGTTGCTTTGTTCTTGTATTTTTTTGTTTATTAGGCGTGGACCTAACTAAATGCGAGCTTTAAACTGGCGGGGAAAAATTAGATGTTTGTTATAGATAACTTTTGGGTAGGGGTCATTAGAAATCAAATCATACAGGTGGTTTGTTGAAGTTAAACGAGATCTTACAACAGTTTATGGTTGATGTATATTTTGTGTCTCTTAGGCTGTGGTCCAAGGCCATTTTTGCTGGCTATAAGCGAGGTCTCCGGAACCAGAGGGAGCACACAGCTCTTCTTAAAATTGAAGGTGTTTATGCTCGAGATGAAACTGAATTCTATCTAGGCAAGAGATGTGCTTATGTGTACAAAGCAAAGAAGTAAGTTGATAGTATTGTTATGCTTCTTGAGTTTTTACTTAAGATTTGTCTCATTTTACTATTCAAAGAGTAATAAATGAGATGTTAGTAAATGGGACTTTGGGACTTTTAGGAACTTAATGGAAGGTTATAGGAGGATGTTGCTTTTGTGCGTGGTATTCGATTTAAGTTATCTTATGCAGTTATTACAGTTGTTAATTGTTTCAGGGAAGGACCCAACTCCTTATTTTACGATATTAAAATTTTATAAAGCACTTTTCATGTATCTTAATTCACTTTGTTGATTCCTTGAAATTATGTTTTATAAGTGAAGGCTACATGCTTGGTTATCCTCTGAAAGGAATTTATGTTTTGTAAACTGCTATATTTTACAAAAATTACATTTATGAAGTGGCTGGCATTTAGTAGGAATGGTACTCAAGTATTTGTTGAATGAGTGATGCCCCATGCTTTTATGTGGCGACTTAAATGGTTAACTAGGGTTGAGAGCCACTGGGCTGGATGTCACTTTGAATTTGTACCACATTATAGTACTAATTGCCATAGTTCTCATGCCTCTTTTATTCCTTTTTAAAATTAGCAACACAGTGACTCCTGGTGGCAAACCAAACAAAACCAGAGTAATCTGGGGAAAGGTAACTCGTGCTCACGGAAACAGTGGCATGGTTCGTGCTAAATTCCGAAGCAACCTTCCCGCTAAAGCCATTGGACACAGAATCCGTGTAGTAAGTACAATTATAAGCAGTATGGTACCTATTGAGTCAAACTAAGCTCAAGATGTTGGACTTTGACCTCCAAGAACTATTGTGATTATAAAAATATCACCAGTGCCCGGCCAGGGGTAGCTTGGGTTGAGCATCAACCTAGGATCCAGGAGATAGCAGTTCTATTCCCGGTCCGATTCCCAGTCAGGGCACATACCCAGGTTGCAGGCTCGATCCCCATTTGGGGTTGTGCAGGAGGCCGCCGACCAATGATTCTCTCATCGTTGATGTATCTATCTCCCTTCCTCTTTGTGAAATCAATAAAGATATATATATTTTTAAATGTCACCAGTAAGATTATGCTGTAAAATTGGTGGCTGCTGTGTAAATGTATTATGAAACATTAGATTCTTGGCATGTGAAGGTGAATTTTCAAGTGAATTGTGCTTAGATTTCACATTTTGCTAAAGCTGCATGGGGGAGTGGGATAGTATTTAAATGAACAATTTTATGCCCTGGCTGGTGTGGCTCAGTTGGTTGGAGCATTGTCCTAGGCACCAAAAGGTGGTGGGTTTGATCCCCCGTCAGGGCACATACCTAGGTTTCCGGTTCCATCCCCAGTGGGGTGTGTGTGAGAGGCAACAGGTGGATGTTTCTCTCTCCGCCTCTAAAAGAATCAATAAAATAAAATAAACGAACAATTTTCTGGCAAAGACATTTATTGAGCCCTAAAGTAGTTGCTAGAAAATTTAAAATCAACATACCATTTCCTGGCATAATTCTTAATATTTTCTCATCTCTTCATCATGACAGTTTTGGTAGAGGAGGTGTTAAGTCTTATTTTGTAAGAAGAAAACTGATCATGTTTCTGGGTTCTACGACTTTGGCCCAAGCCTTTGACTCTAGATCCCGTCATTTTTCTAAAATCGCTCCTGTTTTCTTTCGGACCTATTTTTTTAATAGCCATGGCCATAATCTTGGGGTGGGGGGTTCACATGGTGTACTTTTGAACCCTGCTGGGCTGTTGAGGTTCCTAATCAGAGGAAGTTTTTTACTGTTGTTAGAAGAAGCAAAATTAAATGGACTTTCAGTGCTCCCAGAATGGTTCTTAAAGCATGTTCACCTAAAAACTGAAGGCTATAAAATAAAAACTTGGTTCCTTCCCCACCTACATATAAGTCATTGGATGCTTGTCAGAGATGCATAGCGGGATAGTGGGAGGAGGGTTATCCATATTGTGTTACTCAGTGGCATTTGTAAACTTGTATATATAGCATGCATTAATGACATTGTGTTCTTTTTCTTCTCCAGATGCTGTACCCCTCAAGGATTTAAACTTATTGAAAAGTAAATAAATAAAATGGATTTGTTCTCTTGTGTTTTTAAGTGGCTCAAAAATCACTTTGCCCTAAATTCACTTGCTATATGCTTAAATAGTGACAGTTATAAGGTATTTTCAGGGTATACAAGGAAGTCATAGGGCTGAATGTAGTGGTGATTACAGAGAGTTAGACAATAGGATAGAAATGATGTATCAGTTAAAGGGCTTTATATTGTGGAGGAGGGGGTTAAGTTAACTTTGGTTGGGGACTGGATAAAGGAGTACCTTGGAAAGTGATGGAGTACTTAAACCTAGCCTCTGATAAGCTTTTGGATAAGTGGAGACATAGCATGTTTCAGGAAGTATGGAAGCCAACAATTTTAGCTGGTACAGATAATGCACCATGACACTTTTCTAGATTTGCACATCAAAATGTATCCACAACTTCCCTGTAACACGTTTATTTCTATTGGTACTGCATTTTATTAAATGCTCGTAACTACCACCATCATTAGATTGAGAATCAGTGAAAGAAACTTAAAATTATCTTGATCTCTTAAAGTACCTTGTAATAGTATGCACTTGTTAAATATAGATTGGGTGAGAAACTTGTGACTTAAAAATGGTATTTGGGAGAAATCTGAGTGATTATATTGATGGTATTTGGCAGCTTGCTGAATAGGCAGAGATGAGATATCCTTGGGATTTGTGACTGGACAAAGCATTCTAGTATATATGTAACAAGTGGGAATGTTTTTAAGTTGAAAATGTTGAAATGATGCCACATGCCTCTGTAATGGGAGTGTTGGGGGTCTGTATTGCCCAGTTAGTGTAGCTTTATTTGGCTCCATGTTTTAATGTAAAAGTGCAGGAGCATAAGATTTTAAGCAGGGCTGCAGAATTTTTATTTAAAATTGATTTTAGAGAGGGAGAGTTGTCTCTTACACACACCCAGACCAGCAATTGAACTTTCAACCTGAGCAACCTTTGGGTGCACAGGATGATGCTCAACTAACTGAGCCACACCAGCCAGAGTATGCAGAATATTTTAAATGCAGTATGTCTGGTGTAGATTGATGCAATAGCAGCTAGTACTTTTATTAACCAACAAGTCCTGATAGTCCATGGAAACAGTTTTCCAAACAACCCTTACAGTTTGCATTTGGGTTCTCTAAGAAGCAGATGCTAAGAAACTGCTAAAAATGAATTGGGGTGTGAAAGACCTTTGACGGACAGGATGTAGGAAAGGATTAGGATTGGGTTCTAATAGCACCCAATCTAAGATTTGTTTAGTCCAGTGGTGATCCTCAAGCCAGATTCGCTGTTGGAAGAGTCCATGTTTCACGGAAACAGGCTTGTGTGATGCCAGTCTCATTTGACCTACCAGCAGCCCTTGGGAAGTGTGGCCTCAAGGCAAACAAGGTAGATGTTGAGATGTAACTTGAGGTCGTCAATTGTGCTCTCTCAACTGGATCTAAGTGCGTTTTATGGCCACCACAAGTTAGAATGAGGGAATTGAATTTGGAATATCTGGGGTAAAGAGCAAGAAGAGGCCATTTCAGACCTAGAAACATTTAGTTCCCCCTCTCAAAGAAAGATCCAGTGTAAATGAAAAGTACCTACTTTATTTGTGCCAGTAGAGGCAATATCAGTACTTGGAGTGGTCGGGGATAGAGGTTTTTTGAAAAAAAGGAAATGACAGGTTTTGTGTGAAAGAAGGCATTTGAGGAACCATTCAACTGGCTTATGTAATGTGACTAAAATTTATTGGGCCTGGCTGGTGCATGGGATTGAGCATCACCCCATGCACCAGGAGTTCCCTCGTTAAATTCTAGGATCAGGGCACATGCTGGGTTGCAGCCGGATCCCTAGTAGGGGGTGTGCAGGAGGCAGTTGGTCACTCATCCCCGCCCTTCTCTCCCTGAAGTCATTAAAAAAAAAACACAAAACCTATAGGGAATCAGAAAGTATCAAAAACTAAGATTCCAGTTTATACAAGGTCTTGTGTACTGTACTAGGGATTTTAGACATACAATTCTTGTCTATAATAGTGTAATTAAGACACTTGATAGGGTTGACCAGATTCATACTTTAGAACCCAGTGGCAACCCAGCATAAATTGAAGGGAAAACCAGGTAGGGTTTGCAGTCTTAACTGAGTTTTTCAGCACGGAAATAGAGTAGACTCCATAAACATTAACAATTAAAAAACCAAGTAGGAGTGTTCAAGGGCAACATGTACCCCCTTTGGTTGCTGTGTGGGTACTGAGTTTACAAAGCTGGGGAAGCAAGAGATGGGTTTTATGGTTTATTTTTTAAAAATACTGATTTTTAGAGACAGGAAGGGAAAGAGAAACATTGGTGGTCTGCCTCTTGTACATACCCCAACTGGGGACTGAACCCACAACCTGGGCATATGCCCTGACCAGGAATTGAACCTTTTGGTGCATGGGATGACAGCCACACCAGCCAGGGCTGTTTTTTAATTTTTATTTTTTGCAGAAGTGGAGGAGTTGAGTTTGATGAGACTGTAGGATGCTTAGCTGTGAATATGTTCGGGAAGGCAGGTGGATATTCAGTTCCGGTCTGGGTTGGTCAATGTAGAGGAAAAGAAAGCTCAGTGTGGCCCTGGCCCAGTAGCTCAGTTGGTTAGAGCATCGTCCCAATACGCCAAGGTTGTAGGTTCAATCCCTGGTTAGGGGATTTAGAAGAATCAACCAATGAATGCATAAATAAGTAGAACAACAAATCGACGTTTCTCTTCCTCCCTAAAATAAAAATTTAAAAATCTCAATGCCAGTCACCTTGTAGGAGTCAAGTGAATGTGGTATTCTTAGTGGGGTAGAGCAACGGGGGTGAATACACAAGTGATAGGCATTTGAGCAAAGCAGGGAAGAGAAAGCTGACAATCCTTAAAACTTAAGTAAATGTAGTTGCAAAGGAGCGTTGCATGCAAATTCATCCCCTTTTCAACTGCTATAATGCAGCACTTGTAAATAAGGGTGCTTGTACTTTTCTGTTGGCAAAATGAGGTTTGATCTGCAAAAGTATTCCTCAAGCCAAAGTTACCATTGGCTGACTCCCATGTTTCACAGAAATGAGCCTGAATGGCTAGCAGCTTTTCAACTAGAACACTGAAACAGCCTCTCCCCATCATGACACTACTGCAACCAGGAACTTGAAGATGACTGGTGTTCTTTGTTGACAATCCTCAATTATTTGTAGTCTTGTGAGAAGAACACATATGAAAGTGATAAATTTGGTTTGGGATCCCAACTTCCACTAGTTGTGGGATGATAGACACATCTCTCTTTTTAAAAAAAGTTTTTAGTTGCGTTTTAGAGAGACTGATTTGTTGTTCCACTTATTTATGCATTCATTGGTTGATTCTTTTAAGTGCCCTGACCAGGGATTGAACCCCCAATTGAGCTAGGGTTGACACATCATCGGATGAGTCTTTACTTATAAAATGCCCCACCCCTGTATTTGAGTACATGGTCATCAGCGATGAAATATAAATTCTTAGAGATTTTATATTCTTCCTGCCCCTATGGTTCCTAGTATAGTGATTTATAATATCCACTTCCTGTTGAATGTTCCAGCTAAGTGCTTCCAATTCCTAGTCCAGTTCTTTGTTTCATGGGCCACAGGAGAATTGTTTAGATTTTTAACATTTTCTGTAGTTCCTCACTGGTCGGTTTTGAAGGTATTTTCCCTAATGGTAAGGATCCACCCAATCTCTTACTGAGTTAATACAGTTGCAATTAATAGGTTTTAAATACATCAATACTGGGTTGAATAGTAAAGGACAGACACATCATTGACTTTACAGGAAGTGACTTTAAGAAGAAATGGGCCGCCTGCCAGGCGTGGCTCAGCGGTTGAGCATCAACCTAGGATCCAGTCAATTCCTGGCCAGGGCACATGCCAGGTTGCAGGCTGATCCCCAGTCAGGGGCATGCAGGAGGCAGCTGATCAATGACTCTCATCATTGATGTTTCTCTCTCTCTCTC